TTTAAGACGAAAAAAACGGTACGCGTTGCATTCGAATAAATATGGTAATATGGCAATAGAATGCTCAATTGTAGGTGACATACCTGTTCTCAACAGAAACGGACTGCTGGCTAACGTGAAGTCACTCAATCCGCAGGAGGGCGCCGGTTTAACGTCGCCACATGACTTTGCGAGCTCGTTAGTATCCCCTATGCGCTGTCGCACATCTCGTGTTTCTTTTGTGCTGCCTCGTTGCTACGTCTTACTCATTTTAGCTCTGTATTGAACTGAACACAAGTGGGGAATATTGGAAAGCTGCGAAGCACTGAGTCGAGTTGCTCGGCCAACAATGCCGCGATCGTCCCAAATGCTCGGCTCATTCGACTGCCCGCATGACGGACAGGGAAGGGTCTTCTAAAATTTCTACCTGAACATTCGTCCACATTTCATTCAACTTTCAACACATTTTTCGGCGCCTAAGAAATGCAATTTAAGGATATTTTTGCGACGAAAAGAAAAGGCTACCACCTGTGTTTGTCAGCGGTAGACGAGGTCGTGAATCAAATCTATGAATCATTGACCTATCCACGAAGTTTTTGGCAGTTCAAGTGTCTTATTGAGAAAAACATCTTTTACAACTGCTCCGACGTTATATTTGCTGCATTATTTGGCGAATATTTTTGCTCTGTATTAATGGTGCACGACCTGCTCCAAAAACGTTCTCATCGTAAATGAATTTGAATGGCCAAAAAGAAATTCTACTGATTCACTGGTTGAATAATTTCAGGATACGTGATCGACGTCCCTTCGAAGTAGGATCACCGTCTATAACACGCGATCAAATGGAAATGAAAAGGTTTATTTGTGCGTAACATAATTATCATAATTTCGCTGCAATCCAGTTTGGTCCGTTGCAGTTCGAAGCTGTAACAGTGCCAACTTTGAGATTGATAAAAATGTTGATGGTCTGTCACACAGCGCCTCTATTTTCGTTTGACAGACGTACTAGGATGTATTTTGCTGCTACTAAGAGTGTTTCAATGACATGCCTCAAGAATAAAATCTCGATTTTGAAGGTAGGGAAAGACGGAAGAACGTATTTGTGACAATTAGGAAGTGCCCCTTGCCCGTGTGCGGAACACTAGGGGTCGGTAAACCCAGCAGGGACTTCCCCCATCTTCCCCCAGTAAGAAAAGTTTCGTGTTCCACCGAGCCCCTCGACGGATTGTTAAAGGTCATTGCCGCCTCCGCCGACTGATCCCATTGTCATTGTTCAAACACTCGGCCAAGGGTCCTAATGAACTGAAATATTGGCGTTGAATCCGAGCCGCGGCCTCGCCCAGGCCCCGTTTTTCCGCGCGACGATTAAAACAATGACCGGAAGTCGGGCCTCGTTCCCTGCTTGCCCCTTGTGATCCACGAGTTTCGACTCACGGAATCGTCTTTTGTCATGCTCGTAGAAGACACTGCAGAACGACGCATCTTACTCCTCCCATCCGCTATATACGCGCACCTTGTGGGACACTTATTCCTCACGCCATTCCCGCTGTGAACGGGACAGTTGAGCGCGTCCTAAACGAGCGCATGCCCAAAGCAGGTCCACGTTAGCAGATAGTCTGAAAAACAAAGCAACTAAACGAAGCACTTCAGTATATACACCGAAGAGCAAGCGCACCAAGCCGACAAAAAAAAAACAGTTCTCGGCATTTTCGGTTTTTATTTTCTAGGAAGTGCATGAAATGGCGTCAGTGAAGAAACAAATCCAGAGCACACTTCTTCAACATAGTTTCTCTTGTGTGTTAAAAATGCAATTGTATTGGGTATTAGTAAGGTTTTAAGTTTTCTAAGCAGAATAGGCGGACTCCCTTTGCAACAATATTCTCCGAATTATAACGTTTTCGTTCAGTCCTATAGGGTTCTCTCCCAATGTTAAAGGGGTTCTCTACAGCAAAATTTGCTCTAATTTTTTCTGGTCCTTTGAATATCGTTGTAGAGAGTCCAACCGTCCATTCATTAGAATAAATTGCATTCCGAAGCAGTTTTGATTGTTATGTGTTTTCAAACAGAATTCCATTTTTTCGTTTCACCTGAAGATATACATTTACTAATCTATGACATGCACCCAATGTTTCAGAATTCCTCGTTCAATGTATTTTCAAAAACGTATTATTCAGCCTCGATTTCCCATGGAAAACGTTCGTGTAGTATTTGCCTAATGAATTATAAAAAATACGGTAGTCACAATGTGTTTTATTGCATTTTTACATTTTCATTTAGAAGTTTGTGTAATCCAGAGGAATCACCCAACTTTATCTGATATTTGTGAAAACAAGAGCTCTTGCGTTTGAGTAAGTATGGTATTATTTTAAGATATATTTTTTTACGTTAAATACCTCACTATTTCCTACGCTTTAATTTCTCTCACTTGCAGTTGTTCATTCATTTTCTTAAAATGCGATTGTCTGGGCAACCATTCTCAGCGCGTGGTCCGCACCCCATGATACGTTCCCAGGACTAGATGCACATTTCATGCTTTTTTCCGGGTCATCCGACGAACGATCACTTCGTTCGCAATGCCTCATTCGTCATTTTGAACGTCTCCAACGCCGTGCATTTGCGCTGGATCTCCGCGAAGCAATTACACAATTATGTTGGATGATGACACGCCTCCGCGTTATTACAATCGGGCTCTGGTCGGAGCAGATTTCATTGAGGATTAGGACACCCGAGGTCCTTAGCTGCGCAGAAGAAACCAGCTGTACAGTATTCGAATGTAACCGCGGGTCTCGATTTAGATCGCATCATCCTCTGCACTTGTCGCATTCTATGCGGGAGATCCTTCTTTTGTTCGGCGATGATTCTGTTCGCGCATGATAATGTAGGTTTCGGAGATGACTACGCGTAGAAAATATCATGATGACAAGGGCAGGATCGTCGGAAGGGATCATATTCCTTCCCATCTCTTCCGCGCCGCGCCAATGCGGAACTCCGAGGTACAGTATGTTATTTATTTATCCGGTTGCCGAACTTCTTCGGAGAAATCGGATCCCAGGCAACGACATGGTTCCAGCAAGAGGTTTATTTGCTCATCTTCCGAGGTGCCCCCAGCCCCCAAAGCCCTTGTCGGCAAGCACAAAGGTGTTCTCGGCGACCATGTCATGCTAACCTGGCTTTGCGCCCTAATGACCCGGGGGTCTGCCAAGCATCATGCAGTAATCATTCGTCATCTCGGGGCTTCGGCAATGTTTTGGAGTCCACCGGCGCCGACAGCGCGATTTAAAAACGCTTTGAGGAATCCACGGACCTGCATCACGACCGGGGGGGGGGGGGGGGGGGGGTCCNGGGGGGGGGGGGGGGGGGGGGGGGGGGGGGGGGGGGGGGGGGAGACTCGGAAATGCGGCAGTCACGACTTCCGCCCCGTTTTGTTTCCGCCGTATCTGCGGCGGATCAAGGTGTTTACTGTGCCATGCGTTCCGCCGTGCGCCGCATCTGTTGCCGTGCGATGCTTCACTTGAGACACATGGTTACGCATACACATGTCCCATGACTGCATACAATTTTTACAATTGTACAGTAAGTTACTGCGCAGCGAGAGTACAATGGGATCCCAATAACATTCGGATGCCTCGACATACGGACGATTTGACCTAGGGTGACTGAGAACTGGAAAATCTGCCCGCCAACATCTGGACAATGAATTGATCCGCGAACACTTTCCCAACATTTCTAGAAAATTTGTTAAATTCTTAATATTGATATCTTTTCAAGAAATTGAGCTGCGCAAAATTTTCCAGTAACCATCCGAAGTTTCTTGAGAGTCTTCCACATCACCAAAGAGGAACAGTACATTAAAAATCCCATTAGGCGAATTTGTTCGAAAAATCACGTATGGTACACCGCACAAGAATATTCTATGGTGATTTGACGAAATATAACTTAAACTCGTACAGTCCTGCGAAAATCAGAATGAATAAAAAATAGCTTGATAATCAGTTTGTCAAGGGCAAATAAAGCGTCTCAAATTTAAGTTTACAAGTCCTTCACAAATATTAAAAGTAAATTTCATTGTAGAATTACCTTAATTCATAACCACAAAAAAACGCTAATATATACTGTGCACTGTGTACAGTATTGTGTTTATTTTATTAACACGTTTTTATCAACTAGCTTTCTTGTCCATTTGTTTGTCTGGATCAAATTTTGAAACTCAAATTTTGCTCACTTCCTGACTAGCTAGCAAGCTGAAACTTTCAGGATAGATAAGAAACTGATGACAATGCAATCTTTTGTGAAAAGAAAAATTATAAGAATATTTTTTTAAAAATAATAAAATAATTATAGTAGATTAAAAAATTAATCTAAAAAACCACGTTTTTCAAGTAAGACTAAAAGCACAAAAAAATTTAGTAGATTAAAAAATTAATCTAAAAAACCACATTTTCAAAAAGCAAAAAATAACCTTAAACATGGTGCGCATCTATTTCATTTGTATTTCACTTCTTCCCA